TATCAATATCATATTTACCTTAGCATTCGAACAATTCTTAGAACAACGACGCATTTGATGTGTCTGTTTTCTTTTAATTATTTAAAACGCAACAATATTTCTATAGACGAATTGTGTTTGAAATATCTGCAAAAAGTGTAACCTAGGGAAATCAGAATATGTACATCCGCCAAATGGTTAGATCTGAAAATCCAAATAGAACATAAAATTGAAATAAATATGACTGAAAATAATGACAGTTAGTCACAAATCGACTTTTTTCTACAACATGAAACTATTCGGCATATTCTTGTTATTGACGCTACTACTATTTGTACGGGCTGTACCCCTGCCCGAAGATGAAAATACAGCAGCTGATACAGCAGGGCTGTACCCCTGCCCGAAGATGAAAATACAGCAGCTGATACAGCAGCAGCCGAAGCTTCTTCAGATACCTCTGACGTAATACCAGAGGTTGAAGATGAAAATTAAGCTCCTGTAGTTGAAAATCCATCTGCGGATGCCGAAGATTCGCCTGCACCTGAACAAGTACCCTCAGAAGACCAGGAAGTTCCAGTTGATGAAAGTGACCCTTCTGCTCCAGCAGAAGAAATTGAAAATCCTCCTTCAGAAGATGTCGCACCTCCAGAAGAAAATTAAACTGCTGCTGAAGTTCCTGAAGCTGAAGAAGCAGACTCTGAAGAATCTGTAGAAGAAGAGCCAGAAGCTCCCATCGATGAAAGTGAAGCACCTATAGATGAAGCTGCTGTACCACCCAGTGAAGATCCCGCAGAAGAAAGTGAAGCTCCTGTGGAGAATAATGAGCCTGTGCCTGAAGAACCTGAACCACCAACTGATGTTGTTGAACCACCAACAGATGTTTCTGCCCCACCCAAGGACGATGTACCACCGACCGATGATTCTGCTCCTACTGATCCAGCAAAACCCCCAAAGAAACCAAACATGAAACCTAAAAAACCAAAGAAACCTAAAAGGCCAAGGAGGCCAAAGAACTCGAGGAAACCTAAAAAGCCAAGAAAACCTATGAGGCCAAGGAAGCCTATGCAACCCAAAAACTAAGAATCCATTGAATTTGAAGCGTTAAGGAAAATATATATTTTTTTAAATGCATTTAACGAAAGGATATAATTTTTAAATTTGCCTATTATCTATATATATTCGTTAGTCTCGCTAAAACTCGAGAACGGCTGAACGGATTTTTCTTATCTTAGTCTTGAAATATTCGTGGAGCTTCAGGGAAGGTTTAAAAGGTGAGAAATAATCGAAAACCGCGAAAAATTTGCAAAAAAATATTATGAAGCATTGTCAATTTTTTTTTAAATTTTCAAAGTATGTACATATTTTATTTTTTTCAATTGGATTGTCATTGTATTGAAAATATTTTAGGTGAGAATACCAAAAAAAAAAAAAAAAAAAAAAAAATAATAATAATAATTCAGAAGGATATCATTGAATGTACACGCGATCATTGTATGCACACGTTTCACGAATTTATTGGGGCAATGCAAGAATTGAAAATCAGAAGACATTCGGAATCGAGATTGTGTCCATTCAGAGAATTCTAATTCTAATATCCATCCAGTCAATGACATATTGCAGCAACTATAATGTGAAATTTTGGTAGGAAGATTTGACACCACATGAGAAAATGCCGAACAAAGGGGAATAACATATATGGGGGCTATCTAAAAACTTGGACCAACATTGATAATTTTTGCTAAGAGAAGCTCCCCAAAATGCCGAATATTGCGGCTACCGTTGGCCAAACCTCCGAACGCATCGAATAATGTGGAGTATCATTGTATGGGGCTATTCGGAAGCTTTCGTGAATATTGATAGGTACATTTTCAACAAAATATAAAATTACTGCGAAATACGAATTCAATTAGAAGGTAAAACCAGAAAGGAAAGAAGTAAAGTCAGACGGGGCCAACTATACAATACCCTTCACCACTTTGGATATATTCTACATATGTCTCCTAACAGACGTCACCTTTTCGAAAGAACACTTTCATGAAATTGAACGAACTTGAATAGGTGGTCTTTATGCGTTTCTGGAACCTATGCTAAATTTCATTTCATTCGGGAAAGTTTAGAGTCGTTTGAGTACAATGGGACTAATTTAAGTAAATCGATGTAGAGCAAACTTGATACACGCTATTCGGTAGGCCGCACTCTTCAAAATTTAATCTCAATCTGACACCCGTTTGAAATATATATGGAAGCATCTGCGCTAATTTTAACAACACGTAATAACGTTATTCAAGAGTCAATTTGATACGTAGTGCAAAATTTCGTGTGGAGCTATATCTAAATATGAAACGATTTCAACGTAACTTGCCAGAAATTAATGTATATTAACTTCAGTACATTGTACAAAATTTTGTGTCAATCGTACAAACTTTGGGTCTTTATAGCAGCTATATACAAATCTTAACCGATTTTCACGAAACTTAGCACATATAATTCTAGACTAAGTTCAGTACGCTATGACATATTTCATTTAAATCGAAAAATATATAGGGGTTTTGGTGCATCATTTAGTAAAATCGGACGAAACTATATATGGCAAGTATATCTAAATTTGAACCGATTTTCACGAAACTTAGTGCATCATAATCCAAGACTCAGTTCAGTATGCTATGACATTATTCAAATTTATTGCGTGTGTGCTATAGCTTCCAATGTAACGATCAAAATCGGTATATGGCGAAATATATATCTTACCCAGAAAAATTGTTTATGCAAGTATGAATAAAAAAAAAACAAAAAGAAAAACAAATCTGAAATACTGAAAATTATTTCTTAACAATATTGTTAAGGCAAGACAATGTTTGTCGGGCCCGCTAGTTTATAATAAATTCCAATAAAACATATTTAGGATTATATTAATTATTTATTTTCGAAGCAATTTACATGTATGTTCTACATATTCAAAAAATAGTTAGGTGGTTAATTTCGAAATGTTAAGTCATCACTATATGAAAATCCGCATCGCCGAATACTGTTGGCATAGATCCACGTCGGGTATATACCCCGGTTTGGGAAAAATAAATCCATTATTTTTATATGAACTATAGAACTTTATTTAACATGCTTCGGAATGTCCGATTTGGGCCAAATATGCACCGTTTTGTTGTATGATTTGTTGCCATTTTAAAGGTAACTTCATAATGCCCCTCTCATAGAAGTCCTGCTCTCTATTTGTAGAGATACCAATTTTTTATCATTAAAAACATTTTGCAATGGAAGAAAAATATGATAATCGTTTGGTGAAAAGTGCGAACTGTATGGCGGATGCATTAAAACTTCCCAATCAAGCCCCCGAAGTTTATGGCGAGTCACTGTAGATGTGTGTGACCTAGCGTTATCCTATTTGAACACGACACCTCTCCTGTTAGCCAATTCTGGCCGTTTCTGGTCAATTTTAAATGGTTTAAATAGTTTATGGTCGATTTTTAGCTCCTGGGCAATTTTACGACCGCATTTCTCCGTTTTGCTTGTATTTTCGCCTTTGTCAAAGAAAAACTGTAAAATGTACCGAATTTTCTCTTTGTTCACAACTAAATGCACCAAACAAAAAACAGCAAAATTTTTTTTTTCTGCGAAATGTCAAATTTCCAATGAGCATAAATCTGCCGAAAAAATAATGGGTGTCTTTTATCAAATTACAGTGACAAGTATTGTCATATATTCGAAGATGAGTGTGATTACTTCGGAACCTCTCTCATGTTAAACTGGGCCGACAATATTGAATATATTGTTCATATGTATCTTAACAATTTCATGTCTATGTTCCCTCGAAAGAACATACACATGCCTTTTTGCAACCTATGCTAAATTCTATTTCATTCGGGCAGATTTAGATTCGTTAAACATATATATTGAACATATGTCTCAATTTGATATTTACGAGATTTATGAAGTTACGAGATATGAAGTACATCGGATTGTTTTGGCCACCAGAATATATGTATGTGGCTGATTTCATGTAAACTGTACCATAGGTTAGTTCGATTGGGAAGAAATGTTGCAGAAAGGTCCAAATTATATTAATTTTTTTTTTCAAATCAATTCAGATTTTTATATAGATAATATATGATTTGTCCGATTTCATAGATATCCGATTGACATTCAGTTTTGTTGACTAAGATGATGACATATCTTTCGGATCATGTCAATAAATATTTTCGGATGTTTTAGACATGAAAGCTGAGAAGATAAAAAAAATTGATTTTGAATTTTGTTTGTCGTAACTCATATTTTTACCTTTGCTATGGTTATGTGTGTTGGACGTAATGCAAATTCGAAGTAGGGGAGACTGGAAACCATTCGGCACTTTTTAGAGCTCTACATCTCAGTACTTTTTTAACAGATATAAACACTTTATGGCTGATAATTGTCCTCTGATACTTAATTTTAAATACTAGTAACAAAAACATATAATAAACTAGTATTGATTAAAATTTGTTATAGTTTTGTAAAAAAGTTCAAATTCGCCGAATATGCCCCTACCCGGGGTCATTTGATCCATAGTCATTCGGTACCATAGTCATAGCCTGGTAATTATCACCGCTATATGTCTGGTTGAAATTCAGATCCTCTAAAGGTTCAATTTTGTTTTAATATGTGACTAGATGTTTGACTTTTAAGGCTATATTTTCAGTCGGGTCTCAAGGCCACACACCATCAGAAAAACATTTTCTATCGCATTTTCGTCTATAGAAGCTCGTTTGGTCTTTTATATGTAATTTTGAACCATATTAAAATATTTTTTAAAGACAAACCCCAAAAAAAAAATAAGGAAATAATACAGCCGAATGTGCCCCACTTCAAAATACCGAATCCACCCAAAGGTACTTTTCCTATATTTTTTTTTCTATCAATCTTCTACAAACATTATATTTTTAGGTTAGGTTTCATAATATATATTTTTATTTAATGTGAACCTATAACTTCTCAAGAATGCCTCTTTAAAATTTCAACTGAAAATCTTAACAACTCTAGAAGATATAACCGATTTATTGTGTTAGCATTAAGCGACGGCAAGAGTGATTCTCAAACTTTAAACGCGTTTTTCTCGAAACAGTGTGTTTGCGATTGGCAAATGCGATTACTCAAAAACTGTTATTCCAATCTCCTCCAAATTTTAACACGTTGTTCTGGACCTACATAGCTATCGTATGAATCCAGTCGGTGAAGATCCTACCTAGTTTTCAACTTGGTTTTTGGTTGTAAATAGGCGATTATCCAACAAATAATTTTCCTAGGTCCGCCATTTGGCTGATTTTCGATCAAAGTCATATAATCCTAGTCAATAATCCTAGTTCATACCAGAACTAGATATTGTACACTTGGAAAAGAAGGACTTTTCCTTTTATGAAAACAAAAACAATATGACAACAGTTTGTCAATTTATTTACTTCTTTAAGTCTTCAAGAGAGAATGAAGGGGGTCCCTTAAGCATGAAGCTGTATTTCTAACGTATACAAATTATCAAAAATTAATAATAAGTCATTTTTTTAATGAAATACTAAGCATTTCTATATTTTAATGAAAGGATTTCCAAATTCTCCTTATGTTCTTCTATGAGCATAATAACTCTTTATGGGCTTCTATGTTCAGAATAATTTCTGAAAAGAGCTTAGAAGAGCTTGTGATTGACAACATCTGAACTGAAGAAGAGTTATGACACGGTAACTGTAATATTGATGAAGAAAAACGTTTTTATCTTGGTTTATGGCTATTGCAGGTTATTTTTGAGATGTCATGTCTTCAGTCAAATGTCATCTCAAATCATACTTTTTGGTCGCATGTTACAGCATCCTGATTGTGGAAATGTCTTGGTATTTTATCGTTTGGCAATCAAACATTTTAAAATGTATTTTATTTGAATATTTGTTTTACTTTTTATTGGAGTTTTTGTGTTTTGTTTCAAACATTGTTGTAGAGAATTTGTTAAACATCGTTATTTACGTTATATTCATGAACAAAGCCTTTTATAATAAATAAATATATTTTTAATAAGAATTAATACATCATTAATTCAAATTAAATTTTCTTTATTGTTCTGTGCCACAAAAATAAATGTAAAACAATAAATTAATATTTTATTTCTATACATTGTTCAATGGCGATCAATGCAATTTTTTTTTTGCGACAAACAATAGGTTGCTATCATTTACAATGCTAAAATTCAATAAGGGGTTCATTGCAATAAATATCGATGATAGATATGATGGCAAGTCACTTCATTTTACGAAGACCAAACCCTTGCTTTGGGAAGTTAAGGCGTTAAATTAGCGCCATGAAGTTGTTGCAATTATTAATATTGTGCTTATTTGTATTTCTGGGACTAGCTCATATTTCTCAAGCGGCTGAAGATGAGACTTCAGAAAGCACCACAGTAGCATCAACCACTGAGGAAAGTACTTCTACTGAGGAGAGTACAACGCCCATCTCAACAACTGAAGATAGTACAACGGAAGAGAGTACCTCAGAGGATAGTACATCAACTACTGAAAAAAGTACTACTGAAGAGAGTACCACAGATGAGAGTACATCAACTACAGAAGAAAGTACCACAGAGGAAAGTACAACGCCCATCTCAACAACTGAAGAAAGTACTACAGAAGAGAGTACTACAGAGGAGAGTACACCAACTACTGAAGAAAGTACTACAGAGGAGAGTACAACACCAATATCAACTACCGAAGAAAGTACTACCTATGAGAGTACCACAGAGGAGAGTACAACTCCTTTGGAAACTAGTACCGCGCCCACTACCGAGGAAAGTACTACCGTAGATAGTACAACTGAAGCTAGTACAGAAGCACCTGATGCGGCAGAGGATGAAGATGACGAAGAGGAACCTGAGGAAGAGGATGATGATGCTGAAGAACCTGCAGAGGCAGCCGAGGAACCAGAGGATGTCGAAGAAGAACCAGAGGATGATACCGAACCAACTACTACAGTGAAACCTACAGAGGCAACGACCGAAACAACGGTCGAACCTACGGAGGAAACAACTGAAACCACAGTCGAACCTACGGAGGAAACTACCGAAACAACGGTCGAACCTACAGAGGAAACCACCGAAACAACAGTCGAACCTACGGAGGAAACCACCGAAACAACGGTCGAACCTACAGAGGAAACAACTGAAACCACAGCTGAACCTACAGAAGAAACTACAGTGACAACCACTAGACCTACCGAAGCCACAACTGAACCAAGTGCCGATTCTGTAGCCTCAACAACAGAAATTACTACAACCGAATCTGAAGATACAACAACTACACCAGCACCCACGACGCCAACTACAACAACAACGAAACGTCCAACTAAAAAACCAAGTAAAAAGCCAGCCAAGAAACCAAGTAAAAAATCGAAAAAGAAAAAGCCCAAAAAGAAATCGAAGAAGCCGAAAAAGAAACCTCAAAAGAAAAATCAGAAACCCAAAAGCAAAAAACCGAATAAGAAAAAACGCAAACCGAAGGCCAAAAAGACTTCTAAACCTAAACCAAAGCCAAAACCTCAACCGAACCCAATCAGAACAATTGGTCAGGAGATATTATCTATTTTCTTTTAGTTAATACAATTAATCGGAAGCCTTTTTATTGCAGTTTGTATTACAAATTACGGTGAAAATATATTTTAAAATCTTCAAAATAAATGTATAAATCTAAATACTATGTAGAAGTTGGTTACTACACAATCCAAAAAAAAAGAATAATGTCGTCCGAGTACGAGTTTGGTATAAAAAGGACGATATATCGGCCCACGTTTTGATAAAGTCTCCAATTAACGGTACCGCCCATTATCTGTATTTTGAAGTTTTACTGTACTATATCGGAATATTGGCTAAACCATTTTCCACTTTCGGATCACAATTTTTAGCGGCTTTATCATCAAAGCCGGAACCAGTTTCATAATGAATATTTTAGGAAGAATCACCATACCTTTAGGCGTGCATTTTTAATGAATACTATAGCAAGAATCCCCACACCTTTAGCCGCGGATTTTTAATGAATATTTTACGAAGAATCCCCATACTTTTGGGCGTGGATTTTCAATTCATATTTTTTGGAAGAAGAATACCTTTAGGTGTGGATTTTTAATTATTATTATTTTTTTTTTTGAAGAATCTTACCTTTAGGCGTGGAATTTAAACAAAAAAAATTTTTTTGAAGTATGCCTATGCCTTAAGTCGTTGAGTCTTAATGAATATTTTAGGAATATTATCCATACATTTAGGCGTAAATTTTTAATGAAAATTGTAGGAAGAATCTCCATACCTTTAGTTGTAGATTTTTAATGACTATTTTAGGAAGAATCTTCATACCTTTAGGCATGGATTTTTAATGAATATTTTAGGAAGAATCCCCATACCTTTATGCGTGGATTTTAAAATAAGTTTGTATGAAGAATCTCCATACATTTAATTGTTGATTTAAAAATTTTAGCAAGAATCTTTATACCTTTAGGCGCGGATTTTTAATGGATATTATAGCAAGGATCCCCATTCCTTTGTGCATGGATTTAAAAAAATAGGAATAACTTCATACCTTTAGACGTGGATGGAAAAAAATAGAAAGAATCACCATACCTTTTGGCGTGAATTTAAAAAAAATATGAAGAACCTCATACCTTTAGGCGTAGATTAAAAAAAATAGGAAGAACCTCATACCTTTAGGCGTAGGTTAAAAACAGTAAGGAAAGTAGTAAAGTCGGACGGGCCGACTATATGATACCCTTCACCACTTTGGTCATTTGGATAGATAGAGAATGAGACAAAATTTTGTAAATCGATTTAAAGCAAATTTCAATCGGACACTCGTTGATTATTTCAAACCCAATAAACATAAAGTCGGTCGAATATATGAGCTATGCCAACATTTCTAAGTTTCTACAAAAAGCAATTACGTCACTCTATACTCAATTTTGTACTTTGTGCAAAATTTCGCGTCAAAATGACAATAAAATGAGGAGTTTGGGGCACCATTTAATTAAAATCGGAAGAAAATATTAATGTAAAGTAAGCTATGCCAAATTTCATGCAAATCGAAAGATATATAGGGACATTGGTACTCCATTTAAATTAAATCGGACAAAAATATATATGAGAGGTATATCAAAATCTGGACCGATTTTCAGGAAACTTAACACACATCATTCAGTACGCTGTACCAAATTTTGAGCAAATCGAATGATATATAGGGATCATTTACATTAAATCGGACGAAAATATATATGGGAGCTATATCTAAATTTGGACCGATATTCAGGAAGCTTAACACACATCATACTAGACCTAATTCATTTCGCTATGCCAAATTTCAGGCAAATGGAAAAATATATATGGAGTTTGATACACCTTTTACATTGAATCGGACGAAAATATATATGGTAGCTATATGTAAATCTGGACCGATTTTCGGGAAACTTCACACACATCATTCTAGACCTAATTCAGTACGCTGTGCCAAATTTCGTGCAAATCGAAAGATATATATGGACTTTGGTACACCATTTACATTAAATCGGACGAAAATATATATGGGAGCTATATCTAAATCTGAACCGATTTTCCCCAATTTTAATAGGGTTCGTCTCTGGGCCAAATAAATGAGTTGTGCCAAATTTCATTCCTTTTTCTGTTACAAACATATGCACAACGACATAATACCCTGTACCACAATGTGGTGAAGTTTATAAAAATTCTATATTATTCTGGAATACAACCATCATCAAGAAAAAGCTATTATCTGATACAAAAATATATCCCTTTTTAACTAAATATTCGCTCCTTTACAAAAGGGAGCCACTGCACTATTACTATCTTTATTATACGAAAATCTCTGTTCGCTATCTTGAGGGACAGAAAATGCACCAACAACCATAATTTAAATTTAAAGAAATCCAAAAAGATCTAGACGATCGCATCTATTTACTACCGCCATTTCTTCAACCTGCTTCTCATGCTGGCACCTCCACCATCTGCTGGTTTCCTCTTTCAGGCTGAATCATTTGTCATTGTCTTCTTCAGATTCTCACCAGCCACATCATATTCTAGTAGATGCCCGGCACATTCCATTCACAAGTCTCTTCATCGCGGAAAGGTATTAGGAAGAATCTCAATACATTTAGGCGTGGATTTGTAAAGAAAATATTAGGAAGAATCCCCATACTTTCAGGCGTGGATTTCTTTGCCAATAGCTACATACAACGATCACGAACCACCGGATCATTTTTCACTTCATCGGGTGCCCCCCCCCCCCTCGTTAGATCTCCTATACAGCGCTCCCTATCTTCTGTATATTCACGGTCGTATTGATTACCACGATCAACATGTAGATATTTGCTAGTAGAGACTTTATGTCTTCGGTCGGTGCTGAGCCATTGTGCGACTCGTCCCATAACATCACCCCTTCGTTCCTCTTTTCGGACCAAGCCACCAAGTTGACAGAAATTCCTCGACCTTTAAGGCAAATTCTTCAGGATCAATTTCCTTTAGAATCGGTCACTGATCCGACTCTAAGGACCAATGTTAACAGGGATCGTTTCCATATGCTTCACACGGATATTTTCCCCTTTACAAGAGACCCACAAAAAGACATTCACTATCTTTTCAACCTAAGTAACTGTACTTCGACGTCACTTTATACATACAAAAATGTATATAATTTTTATAAGATTCAGATTTTCGTGCAGATCCATTTAGTTCATCTTCAAACTTTACCATGCAGCAAAAAATAGACTCTCATTCAAATTTAAACTTTGTACTTCGATTCGTTTGGAAGTTGCCGGAATGGCAACAGATGGAGAGCATGATTAAACCATCTTACAATACTCTCGTGACCATAAAAAAATATAAATATAAATTAATGTCGGAAATGATACTACTATAAAATAATTTGAAAAGTTCGGGAACGCAAATCTAGTAAATATGCCAAAATTAGATGGCAATACTTCAAAATCAACATTACAGCCAATCAGAAGTTTGGCATTCCTGTTTACCATTTTTACTCGGACAAATTTTTCGAGTAAAAAGTTTACAAAGAGAATGCCATTTTGTTTTGTACTTAAATTTGATTCAATGTTTTACCAGATTTGTGGGTTCAGGAACGGGTAAAAAGTGGGAAAACTTGTAAAATTAGTAGATTATTTTATGTTCTGGAACGGAACTAATATGTTTCCTATAGCAAATTTCAGAATGGTAGTGCAAAGCTGTGATTATTCCAAACTGTTTTGATATCTAAAAATAAGACTGTATAACCCCAAATAACATACAAAAGTAAACAGTAAAGCATTTACTTACCGTATATATTTCAGTAAACCACCAAATAAAACAAACCAATAAAACACATTTTTTCTCTAAAAGACAATTACTTTTGTATTATTATTTGTTCAATAAGCTGTTTAAATGTTTGAATTTTATTTTCACAATAAATAAAAGTCGTTGATTTCGTATAAATATCACCAGGATGTCGAAGGTTAATTTGAGAAGGCATTTAGTTGAATTTGTTCTTTAATTGCAGTATGAAATTTTCGTTGATATTTTTATTTGTGGGCCTCTGTGTTTTGGCCATGAGCCAAATAGGCTATGCACAGCCCGTACCGGAGGATGCAGCTGCTACGAAAGATGCAACTGAAACTAAACCGGAGGAGCCTTCCGAAGATGCTGAAGAACCATCAGATGAAGGTAAGGAAGAGGCTCCTGAAGAAGACGAAGAAGCTCCAGCAGAGGAGAAACCCGAAGATGCTCCAGTAGAAGAAGAACCCGAAGAAACTCCAGCAGAAGAAGCCCCCAAAGAAGCTGCAGCAGAGGAGAAACCCGAAGATGCCCCAGTTGATGAAAATAAAGATGCTCCAGCTGAAGATGCTGCAAAGGAAGATCCTAAAGACGATAGTGCTTCTCCAAAGGAAAGCGATGCTCCAAAGGATGAAGAAAATAAAGAAGAGACTAAGAAACCGCCAAAAAAGAGCAAATCTCCTGCCAAAAAGAAACCATCCAGTTTCCTGGAAATAATCAGCCCTTTTAGAGTTGGTACTTTAGTTGTTACCAATGGTGCTGCTAAATTTACTGATTTTATTTCCGATATGATAGATATATTTGTTTAACTCAATGCTTTCTCAAATTTAATATGCGAAGAAAATGGTTTTTGAAAAACTGATTGCATTTTTTTCTGTAATTTCTCTTTCGAGATGATCTACATGATCGGAGTTGCAATGAAAAGGAAAGCCAGAGAGATACTACATTCCCACCCCTATGCGACGCGTTTCGCCGTTGGTTAAGCGGTCCATCAGGCATTTTGGGCAATGTGGCTTACAAATGTCTTTACTTGATAAGTTGTATTTATGTCGACTATTGTTGCGAAATTGCATCTACGAATTAAATTCAACCGTGTCAAGAATCGGACATTTGGCATCACACCAGAACATTCCTTTTCAGAGCAGATTTTTCTTGTAGTGACGGACTTTTTTCGATACTGACTACAATATTTTTCCATTGGAACCTGGTTTCAAATCCCAGCCGGGCTCAAGCTGATTTTTTTTTTTAATTTTGTTTCTATGCCTTTGTAGGTCGAAGGATCATTCATGTAAATGTTTTTTGGTAATTTCTCTTTCGAGATGAGCCACATGATCGGTGCATGATTGAATTTTGTTAAAGATTTAATATGTTTCCTGTTAGCAGATCAGATGTGAGCTGGAAAGTGATTATATGGGTCATTTCTTAACAGATGATACACTGAGTGGATTCAGATTTTTGTCTTCTGACCTGCGCACTAAAATAATAATATTGTTATCAGCTCTGCGAAATTCCAGCCATTTGTGGCTTCTAATATAACATATTTATTAATTCAGGTTGATTTCCTCCTGTTACTCATCTTCAGAGCATAGGACCATCTTACGTGATTATTCATTGAATAAATTTTGTATAAGTTTTTTTATTCCACCTATACAGATGATTGATCTGCTGTAGCCTGTCCTAGGTATTGGAACTGCCATCTACCGTTGCCTAAAGACAATGTATCTTTGACTATTGTACAATGGTTTGGTTCCGTGCTTACTTAGTGTTGCAATTTTACGCTGGGTGGCGTGGCATTCCTATTTCCTCATGTGTTGATATTGATGTTTAGGTTGGTTATGAGAATATCAGGTTGTTGCTTCGCATGCATTTCATCCGAATCTGTTTTTTTAAATTTTCGAAAACCACATTGAAACATTTTTTTCTTGGCTGCAATTTTAGGGGTAAAAATAATTATTCATTGGTTCGTACATTATCCACTGCACTACCACACCACTTTATTAATTTAAAAAAATCTTCCTTTTCGTGTATTTTGCTAGATTTTGCATTATCTACCATTAAAAATAGTTCCCCTCCCAATCGAAAAATCTCCCTAATTGGCGTTATTTTTTGTTATTCCACATCTCTGAAACCTCCTTCGAATAAAACACATTTAAGACGTATATTTTTTAATATTTTTCATGTTTTCATGTATTTGAAAAAAATTATTTAGTTTTTTTTTTACTGCAGTTTTTTCTTTTCGGATTTGTTTTTTCATAATTATGCATAATTTTATAATTTATTTATAACAATAATAACTAAATTACTTTTTTGGTTTTGGTTTCCTTTTGTCTTTTTGTTATTATTATATAATATTTTTTTGTTTTTTTCTCATTTTGTTTTTTTTTAATTCGTAGTCTGTGGTGTGGACAAAAATTTGTTTTAAATTTTGTTTTATTACGTTTTTTATTTTTAAAAAATATAAGAATATAAGAAACAATTTATTTTAATGTAAGTATGAATTCTGTAACCTTTTAAATAATATTTATGAAACTGAATCAAAGGCATTTCATTTGGATTACAATTAAATAATTCCGTATAATTAGGCATTATAAATCAATATTAAAATTGAAAAAGTTTCAATGTGGAATTATTAAAAAAACATTTTGAATGAAGATGTCAAAATATATAATATACTATATATATCGAAACATAGTTGTATTCATAAACCAACTGCCTAAAAGTATGCATTACACATGTCTCAAGATTTAATCTCTGGCATTTAAAATGATAAAATATTTGTTTAAGACTGATAAGATGAGCATTTTTGTGGTCAGGTCATAGATCACGTTATATAGAATTTTCTAAAGCAATTTATGTGTATTTTTAAATACGTGGCAATAAATTTTATAAACAATTGGTATCAATATATTCCAGGATTATTAACATCAATGTTAAGATGCAATTTCAATTTAAACAAATTCCCATGAAACGTTGATCATTTTCACCTAATATCTTTGAAGAAGTGGTAGGAGTCAGAAGATTCTGTTTATTAATACATATACAGGAGCTTTATTATAATATTCCAACATCAATAGTCCTACTTCTTTGCTTCAAGGACAAGAATTTATGTGAGTAAATGATTATATCATCCCAAAAATCTCGGCAGATCAATTAAAGTATGTCAGAAATTATACTACTTATAGAAGACTCAATGAATTTGTAGAAGTAAAACCGATAGTTTTCCTTATAAAAGCCTTATATATAAGCCAAAATCTTCCTAGACCTAAGAATCACACCAAAGGTGTAAATTTATTAATTAATTCCTGTTAGGGCATTATTCCCCAGGAATGTTGACAACAGATAAAAACATTTGTACTGGACTCGTTTATATATCTTTGCATAATGTATAGTTCTTGGCGCAATCTTAACAAGCTCACACGAACAGGTCATACCAAATACAGTAATATTAACTGAACGAACTAGTTCATTTCAAATATTCCGATAAAGGAACGATAGGAACTATTAATTAATTTAAATCCATTTTTTATTTCATTTTTGCTCACTTGTTTTTTTTATCCGTCAACGAATGAACGTTGAAAAATAGATATTCAAAGGAACTATCTAGGAGTCGAAACTATATGGAGCAAATGAACAATTTAAGGGAACTAGATCATTTTTTTAAAAAAGGAACGAGAAACTACAAATTCGCTGATGTATATCTCCAGGAACTTTTTACGTTTCTATATAAATGTGTCCTAGAATATATAAGATAGAATTTTCTGTACCAAAATTTTTGGTCGCCTCCAAAATTTACCTAATTATTTCTACATAGACGCTGATTTATATATATATATATATATATATATATTACCACGAATGTTTTAGGAGCGTACATTTGAATTTCGATCAATGTCATCGCCCGATTGCATGTTTGTATGATGCATAGTTTTAGGCATGCATAAGCTCATCGACAGTTTAGCTCCTAGGATTAAGTGATTTTTGCTGCATATTTCCAGGCTGCTATTTTATTTTTCAAGCCAGTGTGATTTAAGACATAAACATTTAATAATGTATGTTTGCTACATAGTTTTGGGCGCCAATGAAACCAGCTGAATTAATTAGAATTAAGTATAAATATTCTAAATACGATTTTTTTATACATATACATTTATTATATCACTTCCATATTTGCCTAGATGATGTGAATTTGCATATATATAATAAATTACCTATGTTTAATCAATAGATTCAGGCGTCAATATAGTCAGCTGTGGCCAATAAGTCTGATTGTTTCCAAAATATCAATTTCAAGAACTTTTAATATATTTAAATGTATCGCCTAAATAAAAGTGTTCAAAATTATAATTTTATAAAAGTGATTTTGAACTCTAGCCATTACTTTGACGTTTATGAATACATGTTTGATTGATAGTTTCAGGCGCCAATTAAATCAGCTGTTATGCACCGGCAAAAATGTCTTGATCGCTTCCAAAATATAAAGTTCTTGAACCTAGTATGTTACAGGATTTTTTAAGGCTCATTTAAATAAAAAAATATTCGTCAATTGAATCACCTGTTAATAAGAGGACCGAGAAGTCTTCATCGTTTACAGAATATAAATTTTACGAACTAATAATATATTTTTAGACTCCAATTTGTATCTCCTAAATAAAAGCCATTAAAATTATAATTTTAAGAAAGAGGGTTTGAATCTAGTCATTTTTTTGATTTGAAATTGGTCACATATTTGTTTGTGATTAATGAATACATGTTTGATGCATAGTTTCGGGCGCCAATGAAATCAGCTGTTATTTACGGATCTTGATCGTTTCCAAATACAAAGTTCTCGAACACATACTTTTAGAGGAATCTTCTAATAATATTTAAGAAATATTATTAAAGAAAGCGGTTTTGAATTCGAAACAATTTTAGAATTTGAAATTGTTCACACCATGCGAAATTTATGGTTTGAGGCTCATCTTTATTGATAAATTTAATTTCAACAAATATTCCTGAAGCGTTAAAAATAAATATTGAATGTTTTGATAATTTATTTTTAATAATTCAATTGTGATTCGGTTTCATAAATATTAGTTAACAATGTTAGTTTGCATTTTGGTTTGTAGAGAAGTAGAAAACGAAAAACATATGTTTGCCTATTATTTTGCTCTTCTTCTTCGACGATCTCGTTTAGATGCAATAACTTTTAAGAAATACTTCTTTTTTTCAAATTTATCATTCTTTCTATTATTCATATTTCTTATGGGAGGTTTTACATATTTCTTTTGTATTGTTGTTGTTGCTCTTGCTTTTGTCCTGACATGTCTAGACTTTCAACGGTTGTGTGTGGGTGTGTTATTGTAAATTGGATTTCTGGTTTTTATTTATATTTTTAGTTTATATAATAATTTGTTGTTTGTTTTGGTAAAAAATCGTTTGGTTTTGTTCTTTATTTATTAAATTTTTGTTTCTTTATTTATTTTTTTAAATAGAAATAAATTATAATAATTATAATTATTATATTTGTTATTATTATTATAAATTGTTTAACTACTCTGGTTTGGTTATGATTTTACGGTTTTTGTTTCTTATTTTTTCTTAAGGGTTTTTTTTATTTATTTAATTTTTTTTTGAATACGTATTTACAAATCTCAGCTTCAACAAAGAAAAAAATAAAAAAAATAATGACTTTAAAGAAAAAAGTTCGCATTTTCAGTTAAATTCAAAAAACGTTTTTTTTTTTGTTTTTTCAACTTTTCAATTTAAGCGATTGATTTTCCTTTTTGTTGTTGTTATGTTATTAAAGATTGATGTTTATTTTTGGTTTTTT